TTTTAGCAACATTTTTATCTCCATTGATGATCCATTTTGTTGTGTTTCAGGCTGTTCAGCAACCGGTTTATGCGTAGGGTGTTCGATCAGGACGTTGAATGGGGATACTGCTTTGACGTTCATCTGAATGCGTTGTTTCCGGTTCTGATGTTGCTTCATGTGTTCTTGCCATGCTTTTATCCAAGTATGCATGAATTATTTATTTTGTTTTGCAAAGTATCACACGACCTTTCCTTAAGTTGCGTCCATCCTCACATCACATTCGTGAATAAAAGGGAAACAGCTGTGAAGAGCTGCGTAGTGTGAAAATCACTTGCTCTGATAGTATTGGCTAGGTGTCATGAACTATGAAGTGGTCACAAACGGGAGTGATAAAAATACGTAAGGCCACTGAATTTGTGACCTGACGTAGTAGTGTTCGCAAAGAACTCTGGCTGTAATAAGAAGGAATAGTTTGCGGCATCATGTTATATCAGTGGAAATTGAGTAGTTTGAAATAAATGATCCGTATTCCAAGATCTGAGGTCGTTAGTAAAGATCAGAGCTCGCTTTTATGCAGTATCTAGGCATATCGTATCCATTTTGTAAAGTTATACGAGGAATCATGTATATCGTTACGTTCAGAAGAAGACTGATTTTTAGATTTTATCTCCTCCTTCAGTTGTAGTGAAATGAATTTGATGAATATAGACATCGAAAGTAACCAATTTAATGTCTTAATTTTATTGTCAGCTTTTCGATAAAGCATTCGCTGTAACTTTCTGTAGGACAAACAGTCTTGTCTACCCTGAGGATGATCACTACCGTTTGGCTGAAACATTTACAGTAAAATATAGACGAGTTATAAAGTTTTGGTTGTGACTACTGAATCTACATGGCATATATCGACGGAAAATTGTTTAAGCGTACTAAATTAAATTTTTGCATAGAGCTTTACCATCGGTTTGTTTTGTTTGCTGTACTCAGTCACAGATAAACAAATTCGCTACAGTTACTGCAGAGGGTTTGGGATTGAAATCGTGAAATTTTTATATGGAGAGCGCGAAGGTTCTAACCTCTAAACACTAAGTGACCGGAAGATCACTGTTCATGATTTGTTGTTTGCTTGGATTGTTGCCACTGCCAAATGAGGCCAAAGTGCTCTTACAGGTTATTATCACAGCTGTTTGCTACAAACGGTGTACTTGTTTTTTATTTTCTTCCTTTTTCATGAAAGTGAGCGAGTTTAGTTATTTGCATTGTCAGCACGTGACTTTCGCATTCATGCACGTAAGTTACTGGAGCAATCTCCTTGCTCTTGCAACTAGTTAAGCGTTCCACTTGATCCCAAACGGATGTTCTCTTTATTTTTTTTGATAGGCGAAGTTTGTGGCTGAAACACATGATTAAAAATTGATTTCTTATCAGACGGCCAGTGTTCTTCAGTCCACAGTCAGTCCAACGATCCGCTGACTCAAAACCGTGGGGTTCTGAGTTCGAGCGTCGATCGAGGTCACTCGTCTTATGAGTACCACTCGTCGGTAAAGAAACAGGAGAATACATGACATGCTGTGCTTTCCGTAAAGCGGTACATTCCGCTTTAAAGAAAGAAGCTCTTCGCTGATGGCACAGACGTGAATCTCAGCGCCAAACCAAATGTTTCATAAATGAAGGGCCACATATCTCCACATCATGAAATATAAAAGAGACTAACATTCCAACGGTTGCCAACTTTATTGTTTCTTTAATTATTACAATCGCGTATTTAACTTCAGACTGTGTGAACTTAATTCCTCTGCCTGACAGGTTATATAGATTGTGAATGTTCTGTAGCTGTTTTATTTTACGGAAAACAAACCACTCATTCGGTTTCGAAAGTTTGGAATTAAAATTTTGATTTAAAGGAACAGGATTTTTGCTGTTTGCTTTTCGCCTTTGCTCTGCTGTTAACAACCTTGTTACTCTCGCATTGTACTGATTTTACTAAAGAGAATTTATATATTTAATCAGACTGAAATTTTTGAATATTTGATAATTAGATCAAAGTTGCCTTAAATTTTTTTTCCTAGTAATCAGAAGTATCGGATTCTTCTCCTGTTTTGTTTGCAATACAACATGGTTAGTCGCCGTTTCGTACTACATTTATATAACGTTTCTAGGCTACTTAGGTAAGTTTACGGCATGCTGTGATTGTATACTGTAATGTTGATATTTCAGTTCTTCCGTTTCTGAAAAACGCACATATATTCTTGTACCCGTTTACGTTCCTGTTTATATTTTATGTTGGTACTTTGTCGCTCAGTTGGAACGTGATGGATGCTTTTCTGACTTTTTACAAGTACAGATTCAGTTATTAAAATTTTTATATAGCTTTGCATTTTTTTTTCTTGCGTGGAAAAGACACTGCTATGGGGATATGGCAGTGTATTTTCGTCGTTTGGTGGTGCGTAGCAGTGTTTGTTATACCTTGTGTTAATTTATTGTTTATTACATATATTGTCTTTGCTCCAGGTTGATATAGCTACACCTGATAGATACCATATTTGAAGTACCACCGTTATATGCAGTTGGCCAAAATTTCAAAAATGATTATGTGATTATTCTCTTTCCTCGTTTATGCATAAATATCAATAAATGAATGGATAGATAAAATATCGATGTATGAGAAGTCCGCAGTACGTCGGTATTTGACAAGGGCATCGCGTACCTGTGATACGTTTACAGAATTGAAATCTGTTACATGCTGTCGACAAGGCGTTTCGTTCTAATAAAATGACGTAACAGTGGCATTTTACTGAATTGAGATTTGACGTAAGAATCTGAATTTATCTAAGTAGTTATTGCGCCATCGTATTTAAGCGCTTGCAGTGCATAGGACCGGAGTTCTTTTTTCATTTGAACAAGAGCATGCTCAAGCCCAAACGCCATTATCCCTAAGTGACAAGTACAAGTAGAAAATAATAACCCCAGGTGACAAGAAGCAAGGCGCTGTGCAATATCGCGGTACAACGGGAGTAAGATTTCTACCTGCTTTAGTACACGTACAGTACTACGATGTAAAGAAAGAGATGAATTTTTCTTTCTGTACACTACGTTTTAGCCGTTATGATTTGGTATCATTTATTTTAATGTTACTTGCTCGTTTATGCCCTCAGTTGATGTTGATAGATCAAACGCAGTGTTAATGATTGATTGTCAATTTTACGGTCATGGCAAAAAATCTAAACTCGAAAGTAAATCTGTCTGTTTTACTTTACTGCCGTTGCGTGATAAATCAGCTATTGCTGTCTTGTTCATAATTTTGTCCGTAGTTTCGTTTGCTATGCTTTCTGTCTCACTGCCATTAATATATCTATTACTTATTTTACAAAGATGTTTTTTTGCCCTGTGCTGAAAAATAAGATATTTTCACGCTTTTGTCCAAACAGTAAACTGTTACTTCCAGAGACTCCTAAAAAATGTTACTTTTGAAAAATGTTATCGAGTGTTCCACAGTACTTCTAGACGGTAAGCACTGTCACTGTAGCATTGTATACCAGTAACCAATTTATCAGGTTTATCGTGCCATGAAATGCACTTTTGGAGAATTATGGTATTTTCCAAAATGCTAAAATTTGAATACTGTAAGCTGTCTAGTTCTTGCATATGCCAACTGACTTGCATAATGCAGACCCGTATGTTGGGATTTTAGTTTTATTTCTTGGTTATTTATTTGTCATTCAGTTTCTACATGTTTCTGTTTTATTTTCTTCATGAGCATCATTGCCTTCCTACGCTGTAGTGGGTCAAATAACGAATGGCGGCTCCAAGATCAGATTTTAAGGTGTATTGAACAGCTCCTGGTTGCCTAGGTGCAGGGAGCATTTCAACAGGTTCAAAAGGTTCCATTACATATGATCTCCAGTCGCTACGTCCGCTAGACCTACCTCGCGTTCATCACGGACGAAGTTTCGTAAGCTGATACTCATCTCATCCGTAAGGATACTAATGGACAAAATGATGCGAGATGCATTTAACACTACAGGTGCTCAAATACCATGAAACCGTGGGCTGGATAAGTGACCACCTATACAACTAGGAACAATGTTGCACTGCTATACGCCGTTAAATCTAGTCCTGGAAGAGGCATGCGTTATTTTTTTCCTCATCTCTTTATCTTGTTTTATCTATACTGAAAACGGAATGTTTGGCATCCTTATACATAAAAATAAAACCCGATCTTATGGGTTTA